AAATATGTTTTTACAATCAAATGAAGCACCACAAAGTATCTAAGTAGGAAAGAGAGAACACTAACATTTTTGTGACATAATATGCACGGACTGATTTATTCATCTAGAATAAATATGTCAATGGGCCATTGAGAGATTTCTAGTCAACAGGGAAGTGAAACCTGAAGCAGTCATTTTTTATGTCTATCAGAGGGAGGGGACAGTCACAAGACCTCCTCCTGAAAAGCAGATAGACCTTATGGAACAAAGATATCATGAACATCTCTGGGGGGAAAAAGATAGTTGGAGTGTATGAAGAAAGACCACCCATAAACTTTTCCTTTGAAGTTCTTAACAATAGGAACAATACCTCCATTAGAAAGAGAGCATTTGTGTTATTGGCATCTGCCTGTAATAAACATCATACAGAATCCAATTATTGGTAGAGTGGATCAACTCTTATACAAGATTATACAGGCTCTCAAATTATAACTCTTCATACCACACTGTGAAAAATAACTACAATGATAATTTATTCTACAAAAAAGGATTATTGAGGCATTACCAACTTCTAAATATTCTAAAGCTATCAATCAATCTATAATCATTTATTTTATCTTCTGCTCAACTGAAAAGTTGATATTTTTTCCCTCATGAGTTTTGTGTACCTAAAGTATAGCTATATTTATATAGTTGGCTATTTTGCATATAACTTGAGCAGGAGAGAGAAATGTCTAGCTTCACAAAGATAAAAGCAGTTATTTTCCTGGAACAGTAGATTATGGAGGACTAGGAAATGAAACCTTTCAAAGAAACAAGACTAAATTTCAAACTATACTAAAAAAATCCCTTGCTGACCCAAGCAGAAACTAGCAGTTCCCAGTTTTAAGTATTGCTGACAGTGAATTAAATCAACTAAAGGAATAACAAAATCCTTGCACCATCACTACAAACTGTGATTAGTTTTATGGTGGGCTGCTTTTAAGAATTGTGTGCAAAAGTTTGGGCCCGACCTCTTTTTATTGCTCTCCAAAATGAATTCCAGCAGGTTTAAACCAACTTAAGCTATCTTTCTTGCTTCTGGATTGGTGGCAAGAAAAAAATGAAAAAATTTAAAGGATTTAGTCCAGGTACTGTGAATTGCTGATCTCAGAATTAGTTATTCTCTTGAAATTCTGTTGCTTCTATTAAAGCTAAGTATGAGAAGGAATAATATATTACAGTAGAAAGTAGAGGTGATCCTAATATAAAGAAAACTGTCTTAAATGGAGAATTTTCTTCTAGAAATAAACTTTTAACTATGTTCCCCACTGTCATTCCATACTTGACATGAAGTTCTCATCTTAATTCCCTCTGTTGCTTCTATCTCCCTCTCCCCCACACCAATTACTTCAGGGCAGGGATGGATTCTACTTACCTTTACTACCAGTTCGCATCGGGAGCACGCGCGCAGATCACCTATGCTGACATCCAGGTTAGTGGGTGGAGCCTCCCGCTGGTTTTACTACCGGTTCTTGAGAACCGGTCCAAAGCAGGGGAAACCCACCACTGCTTCAGGGTCTCATTTCAATGTGCTATCTCACCAGGAGTCAGTGGGATTTGGCATGTTGTACACACATTTTACAAGCCGATACAAATCAAACTGGCTGCAGATATGCATTCTCACTGGACAGTTTGTTCCTCCAGCCCAGAATGAGAAAATCAGAAGAGTCAAATGAAGTTCTTCCTAAAAGAGGGAGAGAGGATTGCTCTTCCAAGTAGCACTATTATTTTGGGTTCAGAATGACGTGATTGGACTGAATTGCCTTCAATAAAATCACAATGCCCTTCCAAAATTATTAATGTTGAACTAGCTAAACATTTTGGCATTCTTCATATCCCAAATCAGCCATCATGGGTCTTTTCAAATTCTCTCCTGCAACTTCATACAAAAAATAAAGCTTCTCACCTAGTGGACATACAAGCACTCTTGGTGGCCTTGTGCCCTAGCAAAAACTGCCATCTGTGAAAAATATGCAAATATTTTATTTTTAAAAAACTATTTTTTCCCTATAAACAGAAGGCATTGATGGGAAATCTGCCACCGAAGGAAGCAGATTTGAATTCATCCGTTCTGCTAAGAACACTTTGTACTCCTTCAGAATATGAAAAAGGAGAAACTAGCAACACAGTCTATAAGTTTTGCAAAATTTGCTGATCCTACTTGGTTGCACCATAGTACAAAATCTAAGATGTTGTTTAAATGATATTTCAAGATAGTGTCAGTAATGAATTGACAGGTATATATTGAAATAAATTAACTAGCTTACAGGATCATCTTATTTTCAATAATGCCTATCCAAATGAGAAAATCTCAGAAAGCAACCACAATTTCTCTTTTGATAAATGAGGCTTTTGTGAGTGGTTAAATCTACCAATAGGTTCCATTTTATAAGTGTATAAGTTCTTCAACCACAAGTCATTAGTAAGAATGTCCACAAGATTTCAAGTGTGTTCAGTAACTTAAAACATTTGCCTACTCTTACCTAGTCTGGCCTTAGTCAATTTTTAGTCTGGCCTACAATTTTTTCAATACAAGATAATAAAAATTCCAAGGGTTTGGGTTTTTTTATACACAAACTTGTTTGTGTATGTGTGTGTTGTGGGATAAAATTAATATAAACCCCACAATTACCATGTAAGACTTACTCAGAGATGGCTGTATATAAAATCAAATACTCATTCTATAGCTACTTCATTGAGATACTCATATTGGCCACTTTTTCATAGTAACTCACTGCATGCATAAACCTCCAATATATATGGGCCAAAAGAAGGATAAAAGCCTGCACAGCACTATTTAATTTTGACATCTATGCATTGCATCCTAAAGTTTCAGAGCTGGTATGGGAGCACAGGAGTAAGGTGTGATTCCATTCCTCCATTGCTTTTATACCCTGCATCTAGGACACCAAGATAATCTCCATTATTGTGCATGCAACTTGCATTCATATCAGGCTTCCCATTGAATTTTTTTAAACTGTGGGAAGTGGCATCCTGCAAAGTAAATTGCCAAGCTCTTATCTTAACGGTTTACAAGCTTTGTTATGAAAAAAAATACAGCTGGGCCCAGCACTTTCTTTGGAAGTAATACCCATCTGCACCAAAAGAAGACAAAAACAAGCAACAATAATGTCAAGTGGGAAGAGGGAATGACAGATAGCTAATATTAAAATTAGCTATGGTGGCCATTTTATGAATGGACACGCCTCCTCTGAAGTTATTTTGTGAGAGTATACACATATTCTTAAAATCTCAAATGTGTCCATCAGGCTGGGTCTCCCTGGTACAGGCCATCCTTCCTGAGAGTCATGATTCAAGTAGGATGCGGTATTGTAATAGTTCAAAAACAATCAGTCTTAGTTTCTCTAAATTAACACTGTCGCTGAAATGCAGACAGGTAAAGATACTGTTTTCTTAATCCCAACTTGTTGGAGTCAGCAAGAAACTAAGATGAAACATTTCATCTGACAACTGTTTTTGTTCATGCTGGATATTTTGTTAATCCTGATAATCTTGTAAGCAATTTTCCATCAATCTTGAATTAATGAGGATTCTGAGTCACTAACAATGTATCTTACATCTATATTTTCCCTTTCTTCCATGAGGCCAAGACAACATACACAGGTGTCTTCATGTCCTCCTCAAAGCAATCTTGCCAAGTAGGTTAGACTGAAAGTTAATGAAAAATCAAATTCACCCAGGGAGCTTTTTAGCTAAGTATTTGTATGGGTTTTTTTCTCAAGAAATGATCCCACATTCAAATGTATATACCACATTGGCTGGAAGTAAATTCAGAGTATCTTTGCTCTACTCTACTGAAAGAAAATTGGCTCAACTATAAAATATATTGCCACATCTAATTAAATTGTATCTCATTGCTCCAATGGAATTGTTGCCATTTAATCCCAACTTTGGATTCACTCTGTAAAGCACAGCTTGATACTAAACATACACATCTGGATTTGATTTATCAGAAAAGTATAACCTTGCCATTTTAAAACATATTAGTGGCAAACAAACATAACTGCAGATACAAAATCAAAGGAAGACACATACAAAGAGGTAGTCCTCAAATTACAACTATTCATTTAGTAACTGTTTGAAGTTACAATGGCATTTATAAAAGTGACTTATAATTTTTCACACTTATGACTGTTGAAGCATCCCCATGGTCACATGATCAAAATTTTGCCGCTTGGATATTGGCTTATGGCAATGTCACAGGTCACGTGATCACCTTTTGTGATCTTCTGAGAAGCAAAGTCAATGGGGAAGCCAGATTCACTTAGCAACCATGTTACAAGTTTAACTGCAGTGATCCACTTAACAACTATAGCAAGAGAGGTCATAAAACGGAGCAAAATTCACTTAACAACTTTTTCACATAGCAACAGAAATTTTGGACTCAATTGTGGTTGAAAGTCAAATACTATCTGTATCCACTATGTGTTCAGAGAGTGTTTAGAAGTATGTGTTTAGAAGTCCCACAGAAAGTTTCCCAGCTAGGCACTGCCAAACCAGAGCCAGCTTTTTACCAAAGTGTCCTCTCATGATTATTAAAAGAAGATAATATGGAGCAAAGCAAATGAAAATTGGTCCACCTCGCTCAGAATTACCGGTACTAACTTTGAAGGGCAGTAATTCACAAGTAATTCACAAGTGCTTTTCAACACATGCACAAACTTTGGAACATCTGCATTAAAGCCTCTCAACTACTACTGAGGACTCCCCCATCTTCTTAAAAAACAAAATTCTATTTGTTCTGAAACTGTGGTAATGTATTATATGGCCAAAAGTAACATTGATCCTTACTTTACACTTCCCCCACACAGTATGAAGAAAGTATTTTAATGTGAAAACCCGGCTTTAGCACAATGCATAGTATATAGGCAGGCAGCAGCCTGGAATGCAGCTCTCAGCTGGGACTCCAAAGTCCACTAAGCACTTTTACAAGATGCCAAAGTGGCATTTTCACTCACCCCTAGCCATCTTGCTCCTTTGTTGGCGGCTTGTTGAATCTGTACTCTTTTGAGGGTAACATGATAAACTGCTCCTTCCTCTATCTCTTCACCCCAGTCTTGGATTGAGCTCTGCCACAGGAAGAAAGGAAATGCTTGGATTTCTTAGTAGTAATAATAATAGAAACAAAGTCATTTTCCCCATTTGCCTCGTGTTTGGGCCAGCCACTCCACAATTTGTTTCAAAAGAGACCTTCCAAAGGACAACCGGCATACAAAAAAATAAAATAAAAAAAAATACTCCAAATCTCCCCCAAACTACAAGCTATTCAATGGAGAAAAAGCTAGAATAAATAGCAAGGTAATTGCATTTCCATTTAACTTCTCTGGCACCCTACCCGGGATTTATACATATTTCAAATAGTTCTGCGGTATCGTTTCATAAGGAAATATCCCCCCCCCACCCACACACACACACATAATATCGCCAATAACTATTATCGTCAGCATTTAAACAGCACCAATAGCTGCACCTTTTAAAAGCTATACAGGCATTTCAGATTGCAGGAACTCTAGAACAATTAGCTGACTTTATTTCAGCTTTTTTTAAAAAGAAAAGAAAATCAGGACTTGAGAAGAAAATCAGATAATGTTTATCAGAACCCCATTAAAGTTTGTTTTTTTTAAAAAAAATAGCATGTCAGAAAGTTGAAAGGGCTCAGGATACTATAGCGTAACGATACTTGCTGTACGGTTACAGTTTAATCACTGCAATAAATAATTCTAAAACACACACACACACACATATATATAACTCTTTTTGATTGACGAAGGACTAAAGCCTCTGAGATGCTTACAAAAGCTTATTAACTCATTCATTTCCCTCCTTTCTCTCCCTCCCCCCCCCCCCCCCCTCTTTCCCCCACTCCACGACAATTAGATTGCACGCCGCGCCGTTTCGAAACTCGAATTCGCACTAAGTCGCAGGGGTTTTTTTTTTCTTTAAAAAAAAAAAAAAGACTTCAAAATCTTTTTTTTCTCCCCCTGGGAAGTCAGCACCAGATCTTCGCCCGAGCGGTTTCCCTTCTCAAAAAGTAAAACCTCGGCGTCCCGAAAGGCAGGAATCCCTCTGCCTGTGCAGAGAAAGCCTTTTAAGAAACGCAAGGAAGCTTTTTGTGTGTGTGTGTGTGTGTGTGTGTGGTGGGGTTACCATTTTAGCTCTCCAAAGCAATTTCATCCTTGGGTTTCTCCTCAGCGCTCCGAAGGGGCATGGTGAGTCGTAGGAACCCCGCTCTAATCAATCCTCTCGCAGGCACTTTTTCGCCTGGCTTGAAAGGCGAAGCTCTCTCTCTCTCTCTCTCTCTCCCTTGCGCTCTCCGCTCAATTCATGACCACAAAGAGTGGCGAGTGGAGAGCAGGCAGGGCTCCTCCCCTACACACACAGACACAAGAGTGATGTAAGGCTTTCCTGTTTATGCTTGTGAACTCTTTCTAGGCTTCAAATGAAGCCAGCATCCTCCAATGAGCTCGGCGAACCCTCCCTTGGCTGAGGCAAAGTTTCTGAAATTCGGTCGCCTGGCCGAAGTTAAGGCATCTCTTTCCTTTCCTCCTCTACTTTTCCTTAACCAAAAGCGACGCGAAGAGCCCGGGGGTGAAAGATGAGGCTTAAATAAACTGCCATTGTCTGAAGCGAGCTGGAGTTCTTTTCTCCCGGAGAAGTTTGCAACGGAGTGACCCGGAGTAGAAATTGACAATGGGGACGACGGACGCTCCTCCCACGAGGCATAGCTAAGTAGGGCTCTCAAGTCAGACAGCCCCAGCCTGGAAGCCTTTTCAATGGCTCAAATCGGCATGGATTATGGGGAGTTGAAGCCCTAAAAGTCCGGTGGACGCCAGAATAGGGGATGCTGATTCAGGAGAGTTAATGAAATTCGCCTGTCAGCCCTGGAGGATGAATTCTGCCAATCTGAAAAACGTTCGGCTCTTGTTAGCCTACTCTTGTTAGTTTACTCAAGGTGTAGCAGGCAAGGTTGCAAGGAGGCTTTTGAGTTCTGTGGGTCTCTTCTTGCCAATCCAACTGGGGGGTGGTGGGTAACCTCATGTCCACCCAGAAAATAAAAAGTAACCTGGGGGGGGGAATGACCCTGATGAAAGCAAACATATGGTTTGCACCCTATGGAATGCAGAGATATTATGCAAACTTTGATTAAAAAGCTGGTTAAGTGGCTAGATGAGAAATAGAAACCTATGATCCTGCTGTAGAAATAGGGGTGGGGGGAGTCTTTTGAAAAGGAATAGGAAGGGGAAAAATGAGGGAGGAGATTAAAACTGGTGATTAGTTTTAAATGATGCACTAGCTATGAAATTAATAGAATAGCAACTTGGATACTTTTATTACAAATTTGGACCTTGTAATGATCTTTGCAAAGCTGCTTTGTCAAGTGATAGAAGAGTATACTTTACAATAGTTTTACTTGCACTACCTACTTCATTAGGGTGCAGCTCAAATAAGGTCTCAAACCCAGGGGTGGGTTCCACTTACCTTTACTACCAGTTCACAACGGGAGCACATGCGGGGGTTTGCTTCGCTTGTGTGTGCGCTTTTGCACATGCACAGATCGTCAGTGATGACGTTGGGGCTTGTGGGTGGAGCCTCCCGCCGCCATTATTACCGCTTCGCAAGAACTGGACCGAACAAGGAGCAACCCACTACTGCTCAAACCTATCCTGAATTATATCTTTTTAACTTGCATGCCACAGAATCTTACGCAGGTAGTCCTTGACTTACAACAGTTCATTTAGTGACTGTTCAAAGTTACAACGGCACTGAAAAAAGTGACATATGACCATTTTTCACACTTACAACCGTTGTAGCATCCACATGATCCCATGATTTACATTCTGATGCTTGACAACTGACTCACATTTATGACAGTTGCAGTATCCAGCAGTCATGTAATCCACCTTTTGCAACCTTCTGACAAGCAGAGTCAATGGGGAAAACAGATTCACTTAACAACCATGTTATTAATTTAACAACTGTGGTGATTCACTTAACAAATGTGGCAAGAAAAGTCGTAAAATGGGGCAAAATTCACTTAACAAATTTTTCATTTTAGTAACATAAATTTTGGGCTCAATTGTGGTAAGTTGAGGACTATCTGTATACCCTTTCACCAGTAGCAGCAGTACTGTATCAACTTTACTAGAAGTGACAACAAGATGTCTACACCAATGCATAATACCAGTTTCCTGCAGCATGTTTATTTACATGCACTAAAGGCATATACAACTGAACATAAACAAAGTGGTGACTAGAAGCTCCTTATCCATGAAAAAGAAAGAAGTAAATTGAAAGGCAATGATTAGCATCTTAGAGGAGGGCAAAAGTAAATTGAGGGGTGTATCTTCAGCAAATTCCCTTTTAATAAATGAATATTTTGCAACTGCTAACATCCAGAATGATGGTCATTTTATGGACAGGAAATTCTCCCATGGCAGCAATTATGTGAACCCACAAAATGACCTTTGGCCTAAAAAAATTGTCTACCCTTTACTTATTTATTTGAACTTTCTGTCTTATGACCAAACAATAATTATAAAATGTTACAGAAACATTCTGGATTAAGGAAAAAAAATAATGAGAGTTTGTGCATCTTTAGTCCAAAAAGCCATTTGAGGAAAAATATTTTCAGTTTTAAAATACTTTTTGTCTGGCATGTTACTAATTGTCAGGCAAAATAGCTGATGAAGCAAGAAAATGTGGAAGACTTAAAGCCATTAGAGACTGCATTCAGAAAGACCAATTTTGAAGAATTTATAGGAGGAGACAGGTGGCTTAGAATTTTCCCAAAGCCAGTCCTTTATTTATTTATTTATTTATTTATTTATTTATTATTAAATTTATAGACCGCCCTTCTCCCAAAGGACTCAGGGCGGTGTACAGCCAAAGTAAAAAACATAAATACAAATATTAAAAGCAATTTAAAAAGATATATATAAATTTGGCCCCAAAGTTAAAAACAATAACAAAATATATTAAAAACATTTAAAAAGCATTAAGCTAGCCCAGGTTGCTGAAAAAGGAAGGTCTTCAGGGCACGGCGGAAGGCACTGAGGTCTTGAATTTTTCGTATCTCTGGGGGCAGTTGATTCCAGAGAGCAGGTGCTCCCACAGAGGAGGCCCTCCCCCTGGGGGCCACCAGTCTACATTGCTTGGCCGATGGCACCCTGAGGAAGCCCTCTCTCTGGGAGCGCACCGGTCGGTGGGAGGTTGTTGGTGGCAGCAGACGGTCTCGAAGGTATCCAGGTCCTATACCACTACTGTATGTGAGATCATGCAGTTAGAATCTGCAATCCGAAAAGGTTGCCTATTTTTGAAATAGACTATTTTCTCCTAAAACTTGCAGCCTTCAGTTATTTGATTACAACTTCCAATAAAACTAAGTACCTTGGCAGCTATAGTCCAACATACCTAATTGGGAAGACCATGTTTTCCTAGCTTAAGCAATATATTTTGTTTCAAATGTACAGTAATGTAGATAATACTATAATGACATTATGAAGTCTGTTAATTCACCAGATGGAAATTTGTGGTACTAATCAAAAGATACTGAAACTAATTATTTTATTTTACTGCTTTCCCTGGGTTCATGTAAATTACATATCACACATGTTAAATATTTATCGCTATTGCTGTTTAATATTTTGAACAGCTAATAGACTTGTCCTAATTCCAGATGAATTTCCATATCCACTTAATACATTGATTATAATTATGGGTGATCCTTAATAAATATGCACTTAATATATTTACATATGCTTCCAGTTAGGCATTTCGTCACCTAAAGGTTTTCTAGGCAAGTTCCACATACAAGCATGTAAACAGAAATATGGGACAGAACATTTGTGTCTTTGCTTCCAAATGCTCTCAGTTATTTAGTCATCAAGAAAATGCCCACAATGCCCTGGAGAAAGAGCTTAGTATCTGCTGTAATAGTTACAGCATTGTAGAGAAACTGCTGAACTTACAACAAGACAATCATATCACTATCATAGTCTTCTCTGCTAATCTAAAACTTTAACATCTCTGTTCATATTTCTTCTCCACCCTCATAGCACCTGTCACTTACTTGCTTTGATTCTAAGCTGTGTTCAGGAATGGGAGACTTAATTATGGTATTTACATTCAAATTCATTATTTTGGACTAAACCATAAATATGTAATTAATTATATTTTAACTAATAGGTATTATGTGAATTATATTGAATATTTGAGTCATTGGCAGACATTTTTTCTCTTTGTATAATAATAGTGAGGTAGGAAAAAAATGATATACGATAATGTTTCCTAGCCTGTACATCTTGGCTGGGGGATTCTGGGATCACATCCCCAAAGATGGCTAGGTTGGGAAACACAGATCTACAGCATGTCAGACCTGGAAGCCATCTTTTATGTTTGGGCCTTCAGGCCTGCCACATCATCTTCTGTGGGAAAATGGGAAATGGGATGCATAGAGTGTAGATGATATGTAGTCAAAATAACATTCCTTTCTCAGAGAGTCAAGGACACAATGCCCTGGTACCTGGAGTCGGATGACTGGGAGGTGTCTTCAGTTTGGATGGTGGATGATTGGACCATGTGATGGACATGAAGATGCTGGGCATGGACTTGAACTTTCACTTGGGTGGGGAAAACCTGGAAGCTTTCAAATTCGGGGTTTCCCAGATGTGCCAATATGACATAAAGTAACTTTGAGGAAATCCAAGCCTTGGAGTTTTCTTTCATTAGGGGTGTTACTTGGAATCCTGACACAGCATTTATACCATGGCATGTGAGCCATGTTGGCATAGTAGTTACAATGTAGTAATTTGCAGAATTGGAGACAAACTCTATTCATTGCCAGGAGTTTGATTCTGACCGGCTCAAAGTTGACTCTTCCAGACTTCCAAGGTCAGTAAAATGAGAAATAAGATTGTTGGGGGCATTTTTAAACTGCTCAGAGAGTGTGTCAAGCACTATAAAGAGGTATGTAAGTCTAAATGCTATTGCTGTTATACAGTTATGTCAATTGGCTACTGTTTCATGGGACCTACTTAGAAACAGAACATTTAGGGAACTCATTAAGCTAAAATGTATCATCTCCAGATATCCAGGCTTATTTCATTTCTGGCAGTTGCAATCGGATGGAGGAATTTCCATTCCAAACTCGCCAGAGAAATCAAGATTTATAAAGACTTTTAATGAAACCGATATTTAGTTAACTAAGATGCAATACACAAGTGTGTATTGTATTGTGCACTTAGCGTAAAGAAGATTGAAAGTTGTAAAATGAAATATGTGCAACCTTAGTGCTACCCATGAAGATTGTGCAGAAGTTAGAGCATTTTCCCCCACATAATTGCTCAATAGGATGTTGTCCTGAAAAGCAGATGCTTTTAGTTGATTCTGAGAGCAAGAACAGATAGCTGCGTTCTTGCCCCATTCCTGGGCTTTGAAGAGCAAATGGATCCCAGGAATTTTAGCTGAGAGATGAAAGAATAAGAAAAGTTAAATAACTGACTTTCTTAATGCTGGTGGAACGCTTGAAGACATAGGACCCAGGCCAGAAATAAAAATAGTAAGGAGAAGATTGGGCAATTATGCCACTTATCTGCTAAACAACATATTTTCAGGAATGCATTACACAAGACTGAATTATTTACAAGTGGGCAAATCACGTCCCTTCTGTTGCCAAGAAA